GGATAGGACGGGAGTGCAATATTAATTCTCTAGTGGAATGAATTAATATTTACAGGTCAAATTGTGTCCTGGGCTGAACATAAGAATTTGGGCCTGTAGGGAGCCCAAACCCTACACCTTCTAAGAGATCCCTAGTCTGGCCCAAGGACTCTATAAAAGGAGGGATAAGCCCACGTTCTGAAACCCTAAGAGATCAGTTCACGTCTTCAGCCACCACACCAACGTGGGAGAAGGAAGAAGGAAACGTGAGGGGTTCAAAGAAGAACAAAGGCAATCCGCTCCTTTCAACCGTTTGGAGGATAGTCGTCCATCCGACGTCCAAACGTGGTCGGGACACAGACTAGAAGATCGCTCAGATCGAATCGAAGCCTTGAAGAAAGGTATATCTCTGTTCGTCCTTTAGGAGCATGCTTAAGTTTATTCGAAATCATGTATGTACATGTTTGGTATCCGATATCGATCCGTGGGTAGGACCGCCTCGTCGGCGTGTTCCAGCAATTGGTATCAGAGCAACGGTTTCGTAGATTGTCGGCTCTGCCTGGAACATGTAGTTGATTTTGTTTATTTGTTTATTCGTTTTCAGTCATGTTCATGGTATGGATGAATGTTTATCTCGTTTATGCTTCTGGATGGTGTCTATCGCAGCCCTTGTTGTTTGTTGTAATCGTTTTTCCCACCAGATAATAAGTGTGGGTAGTATAGGCGATTTTGTATACTGTAGTAGGGCTGTTGTTGTTCGATTTTTTTGCTGTAATTTTGTGTTCAAAGTCGAATGTAATGAAGATGATCAATCTGGAGGCGGCAACTAGGGCTTCAGCATTCACCGGGGCCGGTTTTGTCGGCAGAAACCGTTTTGGCCATAACTTTTGTTACAGGTGTCCGATTTCAGCCCATAATACCATTTCGGAAACGGGAGATCAGGATCTACACATGTCCCAGCTTCGCCGAGACGGCCTGTGGCGGGGTCAAATTCAATCGTCTAGATGAAGTTTTCGGCCCTTTTCCGTCGGTGGGTGCGGACTTTGTGTGAATGGCCCGATTTACGCGAGATGCCGATTCGAGTGTTCATCCACGACCTTGCTGAATCATGTAATAGCTTTGATAGGCTGTTAGTGGTTAGTTTTAAGGGGCTGCGATAGATGTGTTTTAATTTTCGCAATTTTATCGCTTTGTGGATGCCGATTTAATTTTTGCTAGAACATGTTTATTTGATTATGTGTCTAGCTGATTTAAATCGATTTTCTGGCATGCTAGAAATCATGTGAATAGGTGCTATAAATTCTTAGAAAGCTGTCATTGCTTTTGTTTTGAATTTTAGGAGCATGCTAGGATTTATGTGATTTGCGTGTTAGGAGCATGATAGGAATTGTATTATTTCTTATTGCATGCTGTTAAAAACCTTCAAGTAAAAATGATTTTAAGTGAGTTTAAGAATTTCAATTAATTCATTTGGCCTCCACAATTGGTCTTTAAGTAAGGTGTCTGTCGCTCGCGGGACCCTAGGAGTCTCCCCCTAACGGATGCGACATTCACGAGCTTACTAGATAAGATTTCTATTCAAACGACTTAACCTTTGGGTGAAGTGAGTGGCATACGTGTGACCCATGGGGTCTCCTCCCTAACGGATAGTGTCATTCATAAGCTCACCGGTAAAGATTATTTCGAGATAACCGTAGAAAATTATTTACAAGCGATGTGTCTTCCCCATCGGTAGGTTCGTCAATTGTGGATGATTGTTCTTGGGGTTAAATTGTGGTCATCACTTAGATGTGAATTTTAATATAACTCCCCAACGGAGTCCCTGTTTTAATTCACATGGCCAGCATTAATATTTCGACTATTAATTTCATTCGCCATAAGGACAGGTTGGCGTGCAATTGAGATTAATGACTGGGTGTCTGCTTAATTGAAATATGTGTAAACGTCCACCCAACGTGGCTTGCATGTGTGTTCGTTAAGTTCTGTGCGAGAGCATGTTCTCAAGATGATGGAATATCTGAATGAGATAGATGTGCTCGGAGGAAATATCGATGGCGAAGCCAAGATCGATATCATCCTGCACTCGCTCCCGAAGTCCTATGAGAACTTCCGCCTGAAGGCAATCATGAATAAGAAGGGCTATACTCTAGCCAAGCTTCTTACGGACTTGGTTGCAGTGGAGGGTCTTATGGGAAGGGGACCACAAGCTCATGTTTCTATACAAGCTGGACCTTCTTCGTCGAAAGGCGGGAAGAAGAAAAAGCAAGTGCAGAAAAAGAGTGGTGGAACCAGTGGGAGCAGTGGGAGTAGTGGGAGCAAAGCAGTAGCGCCTTCTGGTGGCATGGTGAAGCCGAAAGGAAAGTGCTTCAAGTGCAACAAGACAGGACATTAGAAGTCAGATTGTCCCCTCAAGGACACTCCTGGTACGTCTCTTGCTTTAGTTGTCGAAACATGCTTTGCGGCTTGTTCTACCAGTTCTTGGGTAGTAGATACAGGAGCCACTGATCATGTTTGTTATACTTTGCAGGGGTTTCTGCAAAGAAGGCAGCTCAGTGAGGGCGAGATTACCATCAGCTTGGGCAACGCTGCACGAGTGGCGGTGGTTGCAGTGGGAGATGTGCACTTTTCTTTTTCTGATTCTTTTTAGTATTAAAGAACGTTTTGTACGTGCCGAGTTTTCGGAAGAATTCAATTTCAGTTTCGAAGCTGTTTTTGGATGGATATTCAGTTATTTTTAATGACAATGTTGTTATTATGAGAAATAACTCTTTTATCTGTTCTGGCATGTTGGTTAACAATCTTTATACTATTACTTGTGCATATCTACTGTGACTGAGGCTCATGCATCTTCATCACTAAACAAGAGAAAGGAACCTTCTC